GAATAAGCCAGAATAAGTCCCATGCGGCTTTCATGGGGTTTTACTTACCTTTAGCTGAAACGAACAAACTGAAAAGAACAGGAAACGAGACAAGAATCGAGACCGTCATTCGCATCATGTTGAAAGGTGTTTCGACAAAGGCGTTCCGGCAACCGCTCCCACAAGCCAAAGAGAAAAGGGGCCTGGTATCCAGTCGTAGGTTTTTTATTGACAATAACAAGTGTTTTTCTTAGATATTATCACTTTTACTCCGCYGTTATGTTGGAGTATAACGCAAACAGAAGCAGAGTACATTTAACATGTAATAAAGCGATATTTCAATTTCATCACATCATATGCAAATAAGTATAAAGTTGAAAAATGATGATAACAATGCTACTTTCAACCAAGCGCCGCTTGCTGCAGGTGCGGCGGTGCCGGAGGAGGGGGGGGGGTGCATTTTTTATGTATGTGTGGGGAGGGATACCCCCCCCCCCCCCCCAACACACACATAACGGCATCGGTTTTGTACACAAAACATAAGTGTGTATATTTCAAATTTACCAATAGATTTCTTTCTGTCCATATTTGTAACGTCATCACTATAAGTCTATGACTGTGCCCCTCCCCCCATGTCAATTTTGGCTCCACCGCCCCTGTGCTGCAGCGTCTACGAGTTACCATATGCGACTCACTTTAACTTATAGTAATAAATATCAACTTCAATAACTTACAGAAAGTCTCAAATTAACTTAACATTTTGGCGAGTTCACAAACGTCTACCAATCCAACTGAGCGTCTTTCGTTTGAATCGGATCCAATCTAGTGGAAAACACAACTGAAGAAAACATAACCACAGCGAAGAGATGAATCTGAAAACAAGAACAAGAGTGAAGATAAAGGATTGTTAACCTCCTCCACAGGGAGAGACGRCTGCGGAGGAGGTAGAGATAGGCATTTTAGCTTTGGGTTCGGGATCACAGATACTGGTATCGCTAATCATTGTCTAATCGGCCACAATGAATGTTGGACGGTGCTCAGCGTTGAYCCAACATTTCTCGACAATGCCAGCTCACCTTAACTATCATAGCGAGGTCCACCATACATCTCACTGTAAGTGATTTTGCCTGTCTTGACGTCATAGCCAGCAGCATTAACTTTCATCCAGAGGTCGGACTCTGGTAGTCCTGTGTCTGATAAAGACAGCCTTCCCGTGATGCTCAGCTTTTGGTGTGCTCTTTTCTTGCTGGTTGCCCTAAACAACGGCAGATTATGATGATTACTGATGATAAAATTATGTTAGTAGCAAAAAATAGCTAAGCCCCCTCCAATCAATCAATCAATTATGCCAAAAGTCTCCAGAAATGAATCTAACCTTTTAACTTTAGCAAGAACAGTGACAAACAAGACGAGCATGAAGATCAGCGCAGCCACCACGATTATAGCGACATACCATAACAAAAAACCCTGCTCGCTCGATGTTTTGGCTCCTTGTGACGTCATGTGGATTGCGTCGCTATATGACGTCACTAGGGACGTCATGCTCGTTACATCACTATGTGACGTCACTGTAGTTTCAGCYGGCGYTGGGGTTTTCGACAGAAGTACAGAGTTATGTAATGYTTTTGATGAAGAATMTTTAGATGTTCGGATGGTACTTGTCGGAGTGGCGTCCTCATCAAAGTAAAAATCTTTGTCTGAAACCGTGCTCCAAGGCTTACAAACCTTCTTCACCAGATTAACAACGTTTACCGAAGATGGTAGGGGAAAGGATGGTTTTCTTGTTCCGTAGCATTCCAATGCACCAAGGTAGTATGACACACCTGTCGTAGTAATAACACTGTCAAGAAACAGGCCAAGAAAAACTAGAAATATTGATGCTACACTCCAGTTAAAATGATTTGAACTCCAACAGCGATGGACGACAATTTGAGAGGGGTTGTGTATCTCATATATTTCGCCCACAACTCCACATCCAACAACTCCAGCGTTTATCTTAATTAACTAGACGCTCTTAGAGCGTGAAGTTGGGCTAGCTATTTTAAATTAAGGCACTCAATCACTGCGCATGTGCCTACTACGGTCGAACGCCTAATTGTAAATATTATTGAAGCGGATACATAGTGCTTTGTGATAATATTCCCTTGAATTTGCAATGTGTTCAGTGGTTGAAACCACTTCGTAGTAGGCACAAAATTGAGAAAGACAGGACATTGCATGGGTGCGCGGATACGCGCGCACGAGTGAAAGATTTTCAACGGTAAGATTGCTTTCAAACGGTAGACTAAATGTCGCCATGCATTTGATTTGCATTGATTTGCGTTTCTTCTACGACGAATGGAAGGTATTATGGTTTATCTGAACATGTGGCATTCATATATGACGTTATAAATACGTTGGCGGCAAAACGCAACCCATAAAGCCGGGCGGCGCTTCGCGCGCTAGCCCGATACAAAGATTGATCATAATTCTATTTTTTCGCTGGCTTTGAGCATCTGCGTTGTTATAATAAAGCCTGCATCCGTTTACATTCGTACCTTTTAGAAATTGAACTCCAACAACTGGWAGCAAGTTCTTCTTTGTCAAATAACCTAAATACGGAAAAGGTATTTGGAGAGATTACAACACGTGAAACGCTACAGTGAATTTTTGATGTGTTCTWTTGATAACTTACCATAATCTGTAAAAGGAATTGGCTGRCGATTTCTTTTTGCTGATATCAAGAAGACCATRTTTATCCCTAGTGCTGCYTTTTGGTTGTAWATTACTCGCATAAACTGGCGACAACTTCTACTGGCAGACACCAACGTTTTTAGCTCTGTGAAGCTTGCCCGATAATCTATTCTGTCGAATGAAAATCCTGAAAGACTTTTGTGATCACTGCTCATTCTTGTTTTTGTATTGGCCACAAGAGTTGCTGGATTTCTTGGGTTTGATGTGTYGCAATGGACTTGGAAGGGTTTGTTTTCCGTGGTGGMATTTTGTTCAGGTTGAACAAAGCATGATGAGTTGCTGTCTAGCCCRAGTTTAACGTATTCTTGACAAGTCGATCTGAASAGCGGATGTGTACATTGTACCCCAGTATACATATTGCTGCATTTGCAAATATACGATTGGTAATGTACWCGGCAAACTCCTCCATTATAGCATGGATTTGGAAAACAGTGGTTTTGAACTTTGCATTCGCCAAGCTTTACGCCATAGTGCGAGGAATTCTTCCCGTTTTCTTTCACGCCGTTAATTACAAGATTGTTCAAGCAGCCAACAAAATTGTCATTTACCGAATTACCAAATAGCCAACTTTGAAACCTTAAGGTTTCTTTYAAGCTGTTTGGGACGGCCCAGTTAACCATCTCTCCAGTATCCATCCTCAGTGACAATCCGTTGTCTTTAAATGTTAGCTCAACACTATGCCAATTGCCATCTGAAAGTTTTTCTCCTATTTCAAATTGTATTTCTTCATYCCTGTCCCCCTCAACAATACGAACCTTTAAGACTATCCTGGCAGAGTCAAGAGTAATGAACACAAGGGCGTTTTCTCCCTGACCTGTTAGCAACTTTCCTCTGTCACCATAAGTACGAAAATTGAACTTGATCTTCAAACTTGTCTGGTTAATCTTTGGGATTTTTAAAAAAGAGGAAGGATGAGTAAAACTAATTAAGTCTTTAACGTCTGTATTGATGCAGCCTCTTGAAATGGCCCCAAAGTACTTTACTCCTTTGGCAGTCCCAAGAAGAATATTCCTGCCATTAAGWGATGCTTTGGAAAGACAGCCCTGGAAACTTGGAATGGACTTCAAATCACTGAACATTAATGTTTTGGTGTGGTCWATGTCAGCAATGAAAGTTTGAAGACCAACATCAGCTCTACCTACAAGTTAAGATTAAAATATTAGATACTAGAGTACAAACACTAAAAGCATGCAACACTTAATTTGCATTATTTTCTACAAAATAAATAAAAAAATTAATAAACTATACTTACAAATTAAATAGTTAAATAATTACATACAAAATTATGCTAATTCCTTTCTTTTCTATTGTATTATCAACACTATTTAGTAATAATTAGTGATTTTTGCTTCACAGATTAGTGTGATCTCACTTAAACCATGCAACTGTACAAACTCAATAGTGCTATTTAGTTGTATTTAGTAAATAGTGCATGTGGTATGCAAATTAAATTGAATTGATACAAATGAAGCATTCAATACCATCTTGCTTCCGGTCCACTTTTAGTACAAATCAGTACTTCTTAGATTTTGTACAGTTGTACAAAGTGTGATCACTGCCCGGGGGGGGACTCCCTAATATCAAAGGGCGGGGGTCCTCGGCGTCCCTTTTAGGGTTTGAAATCGGTATTTTGGTCCCGCTTAGGGTGATAATGACGAGAATTCCCACMAACTGAGTTTTGTGGTCCCTTTTAGGGTATATGAYGTCCCTAAGCCGTCATTATGAGATCAAAAACCACAGCTGCTAATTAGATGATTGATTTTATTTTAATCAATTTCACGTCTTGTCACTTAACACTCCTTAATAGACGAGATTATTGGTCCCTTTTAGGGATGAAATTTCAGCACTGCCACGCCCATCATCTCCAAATACAGGTCCCTCTTAGGGGTCATTTTCATAATTTCCGCTGAGGACCCCCGCCCTTTGATATCAGGGAGTCCCCCCCCCCTTAGATCACTGATCTAAGTCCATAATATATGCTCTAAATTATTTTTWTTTACCTTTGGCATTGTAGCGATACTTCATATTATCAAGGTTGATATTCACTCGGGTTTCAGTGTTYTGAGTAATCTTTATTAAGTGCCACTGTCCATCACAGAGGTTAAGTCCAAGCAGGATATCTAGTACTTCTTGAGAGTATGCATGACTCATGACAACTCTAAGTGTAGATTTGAGGGAAAAAATAATAAAATATGGTTAAATTATTGTAAACATTAGCACAAATATATATCTATATCTCAGTATCTTTTAGGGGTATTTATCTCTTCGTCAGCCTAAAATGAGTTTAGTTTAGTTTGGTTGCATACTWCCTTCACAACAAAGCTTTACTTGTAAGACGGCACAGAGCTCCAATTACTAACGGTCATTTCAAGATAATAACACAGTACTTTATTTATCTAATAGCACAATATAGTTCTTTCAAAATATCAATGATTTTCTAAGCTTTTAAATTGATCTGCTTTATGAATGAAGCGAGGTATAACATGACAAGTATCTGTTGACGTGATGGGATTAGCTTGATGAACTCTTGACCTTCTAAAACATGTTGGTCAAAAACATTATACCAGCTGTCAATCACTATCGCATCTGGATGAATGGGTTTAAAGCTACAGGCAGGYGTTCCCTTCTGGGTTTTTCCGGCACAAACTCTCTCGGAGCGGCTAGGAACGCCTGGCTACGCAGGCTCAGGGCTGTCAACCCACGAAATTTATAAATCTGGAGAAATTACCACGATTATGTGTATGACGTCACATATTSTGTTTCATGGTACCGTATCGACAGATCGAGGAAACGCGACATAATTCATTGAAAGTTTTCTTTGAAAATAAAAATCTACAATGATGGGTAGTAATTAATATCATTCCATGAAAATATCGTGCGTATCCGGGAGATTTAGGGCTAAAATCTTGAGACCGGGAGATTCGATCTGAAATCGGTAGTCTATTCTAATCCGGGAGAGTTGACGTCCCTTCATTTTTTAGATTTACAATATCAATTTCCCCTCCCTTGACCCTTTATTTAGAGTCAAAGCCCTTTCCTGGGACCAAAGCCTGGTGATCTGAGTCAAAATTCCCGTTATCGCGCATCACAATTGTCCAGTCGCTCTTGGTCCCCGGAGAAATGGTGTGCTGACCTTGACCTCAGCTATATTTTTCTAGGACGCGGGGATTTAAGTACTATAAATTACATGTCAATAATAAGCATGCCTTCGAGAAACGATTACTATCTAGTATTACTTTTATTCATACAAGTAGGATTTTAAAAAAAATAAAATAAAAAGGAGACGGGTTCGGTCCGAGTTGCCAGCCGGTGCAAATCCGCCGCCAAAATGTCTGCAAAGAAGGCTTAGCTTACCTAACTTTTCCAAACTTCAACAAAACAGCAATATAATCCCCATSATTGCCCTCTGTGTACAGCAAGATTGCTGAAGGATTGATAGTTTTGAAGCGTATTTCAAGTCTTGTACGGTTAGTGTTCAGRCTTGTCGTGGTAGACAAAATGTATGCGTTTTTTACGAAACTCGTTTCAACTTCTTTACAATAAACACTAGAAACTAGTCTCAAGAGACAAATTACAGCAAGTGGAATCAAGTTCATCATGGTGTTTGTTGTTTACCCTTGAAAAGGCAACGCGCTAATTAAGGCGAGGACGTCCGTCAAATTGATGCAAATTGAGATGTCTTGGGTTTCCGAGGATGACTATTGCATAGGTTCATTAACGGATTTACCGAGGGCGTCAATTGATAGCTGGGAAAATTGACATTTCCTTGCAGGTGCGTAGCCAGAATGAACGGACAACCGAGGCAAGCGACCGCCGATGTCGGGAGGAACTATGGGGGTCTGGGGGCATTCTCCCCCTAGAAAATTTGAAATTCAGTCTCGGAAATGCGATTTGCAGCGTTTTGTGGCCCTAACCCTATGGGCCTATTGAACAGATTCAACCGGAATATATCATGCAATATTTATGAAACAAAGAAGCTATACGTACAAAATTATTTTTTTTGCACAAAATCAGTCGTACGAAATCGGCTCGGAGAGGCTAAGATAATATTAGTGAAAAAACAAAAAGCATCGGCAAAATTTTACCGAGGCGAGTGCCTCGGTTGGCCTCTTACTAGCTACGGGCCTGCCTTGGGTTTCCGAGGATGACTATTGCAGAGATTCATTAACGGATAAAGGACTATTGCGCTTTTCAAAATTCTAGTGTAATATTTTCTGTGGCATTTCTTTACATTTATTTTTTTCATAGTATTCAGTATATAACAAACGAAAATTAAACCAGTATGCATTACGCTCTGAGAATTGTCGGACAACCATTTATAATAAGTGGTAGTAAACTATTTCATTAAAAGGCGAGTACCGAAGATAGGTTCTTCACATATCGAAATGCATTGTGGTTATCACTGCTAAAAGGGGATTTCATAGTTCATAAATACGACCGCCATATTGAATCGTTTTTTTTCCGATGCAGTTATAGAGATTAACATCGAAAARTCAGATATATTTTTAAAGCGAATTATGAAGCAAAAAAAGGATCCAAGAAAGACATYCCACAAYCTAAACGCGATTCAATATGGCGACCGTTTTCACTTTGGCTMCAGTCTGCAGTGATCGTAATTCGTAAAGTCAAGAACGGATCCAGCTGAAATCCAAATGGTTTTAAAGGAGAGCTTAATTGTCTTTATTTGTCATAAATAACATTGAAAATTAAAAAAAAAAACATAATAAAAAACAGTTAACTTTTTTCTGCTCGGAGGGGGTCTATAGCACCCCTTTGCCCCCACCCCCCTGGATCCAATCTTGACAGTATACCCGATAAGTAGACTGATCGTATTATTTCGTATCTCGGGTACAGCACTACTCTAACTACATTATCAGAACACAATGGTGTCGTCGCTTGTACTCTAAAGTTGGTAGGCATTTAGTGAAAATAAAAACGTTTCAGGCGATCATAATATAATTTTCCTCTATACATCTCCAGAGCCTAATTCAATAAAAATTTACAACCGTATAATCTTTGATATTTCTCAGTTATGTATATCACAGTAAAACTGATATTTCACCCCAAAATTGCCTGTTTGGAGCRAKTTTCCGTACAATTGACAAGAATACGCTACGGCAAATACGGAAACGCACCACTTACAGTTCTTTACAATATGCCACTTCATTATAGTTGCTGATTTACGCGTTTCGGTTGCGTAAAACTGTTACGTTATCTAGWAACCGGTTCAGATAACGCTTTGATCGTAATGTTACTGTAGCTTTACCATAACATCCTAACACTACATACACGTGCGTGTCCATAGTTCTTGAGTGCGAAAACTCTGCGTGTACCCTACGTACAAATGCGTATTTATACGCATTGACTGCGTAATCTGCGTAATCTCTGCGTATACGTTACGCATGCTTACGTTTATAATTCTTCTGCTTTACGTGATATTAATAGATCAACTATTTGATTGTTCTTTAGGAACGTAACTGCGTGTTCGTGGGAAATATTTCTTAAATTGATACCATTTACCTAAAAACAAACAATAAATCTCAGTTTACAAGCTTATCATTAAACAAYAAGTGAGCAGTATTACGCTCAATGCTATAAAGAGAATATATTCGAGGSTTTGACAATACAAAAGAAGAGTAGAGAAGAGAACACTAGATGAGTGGAAGGAAGAGAGGAAAATGAAAAGAAGGGAATGGGAATAGAAGGAAGAAAGGAGAAGATAGCAAWCAATACTGACAAGCTGACAATACGAAAAAGAGTACAGAGAGCAATAGAAGAGAGGAAAGTAAAAAGTAGGGAATGRAAATAGAAGGAATGAGAGGAGAAGATAACGAACTGGGAATGRGAAGAGAAAGAAAGACAAAAGAAGAAGAAACATAGACAGAAAAGGAAAAGGGAAGAGAAGAAAATAGAAGAGAAGGGAGAAGGAAAAGAAGGCACCACCTCACCTCGAGTATCTTGTCACCGGGTTTTAACGAATAAGCAGCGGGACCTTCAGGCTGAACTTTAGTCACGTAGATACACTATTAGACAAAATAACATTACTAAAGGTAGGGTAGAGTGATCGCACTTAAACCGTGCAACTGTACAAACTAAATAGTTCTTTAGTTGTATTTAGTAAATCGTGCATGCGGTACGCAAATTAAATTGAATTGATACAAATGAAGCATTCAACACCGTCTTGGTTCAGGTCCACTTTTAGTACAAATCAGTACTTCTTAGATTTTGTACTGTTGCAAGGTTTAAGTGTGATACTCTACAAACACTAAAACTGTGCATCGTAAATACCACTAAGTACTGCTAAATTATGCTAATTCTATTGAATTGTTTAATTAACACTATTTTGTAGTAAATAGTGGTAAGTGTTGCACGCTTTTAGTGTTTGCACTCTACAAAGGACAATAACAAACAATAGGACAGACAGACAAAACACAACTGATGCTATCATCACACCGTAGACATCCATACAACCTGTCTATAGTACAACACCAAATCACAACAAATAAATAAACATGAATTACATGYACACAAATCACAGCAATTTACCTTCGGGTCTGCAGGGTCGTAAGGATTCGTTGTGGATTCTTTACCACCAGCGATACTGAACCCAAGATTGGGGTTTTTATGTATTCGAACTATAAACTGAGATTCAAGATTAACTTATTAGAGAAATGGTACTAAAGAGCAATACAAAATCGTGCAGCAACTTRATTGTAGTAAAATCATCATCATAATGTCTAATATAGTATAATATGTTTATTACACATTTTGACTTCTATCTACAGTAGACAGTCGAGTTAAAATAGCAAATTGTTAATGAAAAAGGTTCACCATACCTGGAGAGGTTTGACAAAACTACGTATACTAGACATTCTACTTTTCTACACTAGATCAATATAATATAAATCCAAAGAAAAACGCTGTTTACAGCGAGAGATCTAGGAAACAGAGTACAATTTATCCATCGTTGTGAAYAAGAACCATGGGTCACTTGTCTGGCAAAAAAGRTCTTGTGGGACTACCCCTAGGGGAGAATTCACCCCCTCCCCCAGCATTTGTGAATCACCAAGAAACACGCGAATGAAAGTAATTCATACCTGTTCCTCGTCATCACGTGATGCAAGAGGCGCCCGAGCTTCTTCGGTAGGACTTCGGGGTGCGTAAGTAATATCTTGATCGGAYGAAGTTGAGTCGATCACACGRCGRCCTTCTCTYCTTTGAATTTGCATCTGACGCATTCTTTCTTCGAAGTGYTCGGTGTCCTGGGTGTTTGAGGCGTATGTTGGGCTGGTTTGCGTAACCCGCGATGCCTCAGGTCGCGATAACGACACTGGCTGTCTACCGGAAGTTACATAACCGGAAGTAGGYGCCCCGGTAGTCATTGTGCCATCATAGGTCGATCGAGGAGGCTGGGGATAGCCTTCTTGGGACCAYACTCGTGGATCTATAGTAGAGTATCCGGGWGGMGGTGAAAAACGAGGATCGATTTCCGATGTGGTATCGATTGTYCTTCGGGGATTAGGACGAAGTTGGTCGACGTATATATGATTGACTATTTCTTCATTGGGATTCCTGTGCCCAATGGCTTCGTGATACGACGGAGGTCTAAGTACGGGTTGATTGTTCCGATTATTTCCGTAAACCATGCTCGGCTCTTCGGAACGAAAGGAGTGAACATCATCGTAACTCACCGAAGATCCGTGGGAATCACGAGGATTGTGTTGAACCCATTCTCCCGTCGGCGGGTTTCTWATGGAAGAACTGGAACTAGGCGCCTCCTCGCGAAATGAATAATGGGAAGGCAGACTTGAAGCGTAACTTGATGAAGACTGATGTGTTTGACTACTGTATACCGGTGGTGGGACGGCTTGGGGAGCTCGCATCTGTATTAAATAAAATCATGTTTAGCTGTATAATAATATGGCCTTCCTTGCAGCCGTCAACAGCGTCACGCTGTCACACAACAGTGTTGTGTTTTATTTTCTCTGGAGAAATTGCGCATCGTGACACTGATACAAGTCTGCGGATGAGACCAGCTAACTGATAAGCGGCTGCAGAGAAATAAAGCACAAAATTGACAAGGATTTGTCAAGAATTTCTAGCAAACTAATTAATCTTAGTTTCAAACTTACATTTTGAGTATGTGGCGGATAGATTGGCATTTGACCATTGGGCAGTAAGACGCCATTCGTACTACTTTCGCCATGTATCAGCCTCTCGGGTTCTCTTCGTATTTCAATCGATGTCTCTTCGGTAAGTGTCGGTCTAATCGAAGAGGAAGCGACATTTCTTTGACCAATTGGATTCATTGATGCACTTTGGTTTGATTGTAAAGAGACGACCGATCCGGATTCGCTGGAATCACGTTGCTTTTAAATGGAAAATTACGTATTAATACACTATGCAKGTAAATTTACTGTCACTTTCTCGTCTCSTGTTCAAAACAAGTCTTACCGGTTCTTCATACCACGGGATTTCACCAGTTCCCCGTGCGTCGTTCCCTAGTCTAATTCTTGTCCCTTCCATCCCCCTGTCGGGAAGTTCTCGTAATGGACGTTCTCCTTGAGAGAAATCGCTCACAACWGGAACTGTTGCAATATCTCGYGAGGATTCTGGGACGGTTGCCTTTAAAGAGATACGAGTAGTCGGGACACCTTGACTAACGCGGGGSTCCTGTGGATTTGGTTCAATTTCCGAGCTGGCTACTGGATTTAGAGGATGACGCTGATCCCTGGAGAAGAGATGATAATAAAATAAMTGTTAACATATCTAGAGGACGTAATCAAAGTTCTGTGCTAKTGRACATTGTCGGACTCGAACCAAGKCAATAAGGATTGCATGACTAAYGATGATCAACCATACTGTCCAAGTAATKATCCCTGRTAATGTGACGACCGATGATATTGCCTAAAGTGGTCGTATTAAAGAGGTGGTTGCTTTTTAAGAACAAATACAGTCAACTCTCTCGTAAGCGACCACCTCGGGATCAGGAAAAAGTGGTCGCTTACGAGTGATGGTCGCTTACGAGAAAGTTTTATGCAGAGTTATATCGGATACTGAACAAAACGGGAAATTTAAAAGGTGGTCGCTTACTAGAGTGGTCGTTCAAAGAGAGTTAACTCTATTGCCGTTTTCTCCCACTGCGACCTTAACTGGTCGTAATAACGACGTATTAGCCATACGGGGATTACCTTTGCTGTTCATGTTGATGATGATGATGTCTGGTGGATACCGCTGGCTGGTTGTTATTGTCGTGTGCTACTTGYTGTCGTCGACTTGCAAGATACTGTGCTGCCCGGTCCCTCACATCCTTAGGGTACGGTGAACTGAACCTTGCTAATCGAGCCTACAAAAACAAAACACTGTTATTTGAGTTAAAAATTCTTAGTGACTTACAGGTTGGTTTATCATACAGCWTTACGCATTGCATTGTGGTCTAGATTTTTAGTTTTTAATGAAGCTTCACCACAATGTTCGGTAATTTTTCACAAGAGACATTTGTGCTTTTTTCTGTCCTTATTTTTTTTATTCCGTCGTTTTATGGAAGTGTCCATAGTTCAGAGGTTTCCGTAGTTCAGAGGTTTCCGTGATCTCAATCAGAGATGTCTGTGATATAGTGGTGYCCGTAATATTGAGGTGTCCGTRATATAAACGTGTCTATAATATAGAGGTGTATTTTATATTGGGAATTCTGTAATATAGGATTAGACTGACCAGATAATCATCCTCGTCGATATCAAACACTATTGACGACCTCTGTGGAGGGATAGTTGAAGATGGCTCTGGTAATGTTTCTAGCGTCACTGCGTCGAGATTACCGTTTTCCCTGTCATCGTGAATCTCAACGGAATCTTGATAATAATTGACAAAGAAATCAGTTAATCAATCAATCAGCAAGCCAATCAATCAATCAATCAGTCAATTAATCAATCAATCAACCTGTCAGTCAATCATTCAATCACTGAATCAACGAAAATATTAATCATGTAAACTACAAGTTTGTCAGACATACTCATTGAAACATTGTCTTCTTCTGGTACAGGGTTTTGTGGAAACATATAACACGTCAAGACATGCGTTCCTTTTGCTTTGTTATACTCAGACTGCAGTGGGACAATTGACTTGGACTGAAAATAAAAAACACAAATAAAAAAAATAAACATTCCAGGCATGGCCAGGAAAAAAGGTCACATTTAACTGACCTGATTTTCAGACAACCACAAGGCTTTCAGATTGTCCAGTTTGTGAAATGTATAAGGAAGATATTCTAATCTRCGAAAAAAAAATATTACAAAAACAACATTAAAAAATAGTGTTACTGTTCAGAGTTGAGTAGAAAGCAACTACTATGTTGATTCTAAGTTCTAACCTGACATAGTTCATTCAAAGTAGTCTTACTTGTTACATGCTAAGTTGATGACCTGAAGGTTCGGCATTCTACCAATGTCTTCTGGGATATGCTGTAATTTGTTGTCTCTTAATGACAGTATGGTCATTGATGAACAGCTACCTAACTGGATGGAATATGATGGAATAAATAGAAATAAATGGATGAACAAATTGCTCAAGCATGAATAAATTAGTCAATCAGTTAAACAGACATTCTTGCTATTTTTCAATCGCAGTTTACCAGACATTACTGCTATCTTACAGCTATCAATATACCAGACATTTTAGCTATCTTAGACTATCAGTTAAGCAGACTTTATTGCCGTTTAAGTCAATAACATAACAAGACATTATTGTCGCTTTAAGTCGCAGACAGTAAATTAGACATTCCGTAAACCAGACACTTTGCCGTCTAAGTCAGACAGTAAACTAGACGCTTTGGCGTCTAAGTCAGACGGTAAACCAGACATTTTGACACATTTTGCCGTCTAAGTCAACCTTAATGTATTCATGCCTGACATAATATGAACAAATGAATAAACAAATGAATGAAAAATTGGATTTTGAATGAATGAGTGAATAAACGATTAACAATTAAGATGATTTTTAACTAACTTCTGCTGGTATTGATTCTAAAAAGTTTTCATCAGCATACAGAACTCTGAGGTTGCGTAGATACCCCATAGACGACGGGAGCTCCTACAATAAACACAATAGGAMGTTTTTGTACTCAGAATAAAATACATGTTGTTTCTTTAGTTGATATCAACTTCTCTTTACCTCAAGCTCATTACAAGTTAAAACAATTTCTTCTAAGTTCTGCAGTCTGGAAATAAAATCATCAATAACTGGTCAATACATTGCATGAGATTGGGTCATTGTGACAAGAAACAAGCAGAAAACTATGGAATAATAATATTGGCA